GGAAATCGCGATATGCGCCCGCGAAGACTTCTGGTTTCATTGTTTCTACTCCTTAACATACCCCTTAATTTTAATTGTTTCTACTCCTTAATATACCCCCTACAGTAGCATGCTTTGTAGGCTGAGATATCACTTCCTGGCAGAGCTGTTTGTTGCCATGGTGTGTCGCTTTGCAGCGATGACTTTCTGAGCAGACACTTTGTTACACCCGATAAAGCATGTATCTGTATGTTTAAAGTCTCCTACAATACATGCGTTCCATAGTAATGCGTAATATGAGTATATTTTGCATGCGTCGTGCGTGTAACAAATGCTCATATCATTCTGGTTTATAACACTTGCAGCTGCAACAAGTTGTACCCTTTTACCGAGTGCGAAAAGACAACAAGCGGCACTATTGCTCAATAGAGAGAATTTTGGTGAGGCCTGGAAGTTCGATCTATGACTTTTGATTTGGCCTTCGCTTCGGACCCGCACATTTGAAATTGCTGCAGAAATGGGCTCCTGCTGTAGGAAACCCGTCAGCAACGGCGTCACACGATCATCCAAGTCATCAAGAGAGAATTTGAAACTCGACCAAAATTCAAGATGGCGGCGGCTGCCACCTCGAACACTGATTAATACCCTAGAGTTGCACAAGTAGCAACTAGCTTGATAAGAACTCCTAGCTGTATAGCGCATAGCATTTCCATGCATTTTTTTTTTTGCAATAGTCGACATTCCAGGGTCTCGTGTATGAAGTATAAGGGTACCATCTCGACAATTAACTCAACGACTTAACTCCATGACCTAGGTTGACTTAACTTGACCATCCCTCATTACCGCTGGGGCACCATAGGAGCATGATATGGATGTGATGCTTAATACCTTGAGCTCCTGGTTTGTCGGAATTCTCGGCTCTCGGTTTGACCTCCCTCGGGACCATAACCACAGCTGGAAACGTGTTTTTTAATACAGCCAGTGCTTTCTTCACAACGTCGTTTGGCTAGTAAATCCCTTCTGGTACATTGCAGGTCGATAATGATAAGAATAATACCGTCTGACCAGCAACGCGGGAGAAGCATATGGGAGAGGCGCACGACAGTGGTACCATGCATCACGCCGGTCACACGCCGGACACTCGGAGATCAAAATCACTCATTGTCAGCCAGCAGGCCGTTTCCAAATCTTTCTTGATCTGCTGTGTCCCTATTGCTGCGTGATTTTGCTCAGCCTTCAGGAGCCAAAAGGTGTTGCCGCTCAGCGCAATTGTTGCGTTGGCTGGCAGCGGTACGCAGTCAATCGCGATCCATGTGACGGCTCTGGAGAATAAAAACGCCTCCAAATCTGGGAGCGTCAAACCAGCTTTTGAAATTCATTTATTCCATTCGTTATCGCAAGGTTTATCTTGGGTTTTCACTGAAAGTGTGCATGATGCATTAAGAGGATATTGCGGAAGTGTCTACAGTATTTAAGCCATTAAAAGTAGAAAGACAAAACTTTTTTCCTGATGCTCTCACCTGAGTACATATGCCTTTTGAGCTGTAAGCGGCGACAAACTCCGACGTTTTAGAAACATTCAGGGTCATTTTGCTGATCCTGAAGGATATATGATCCCTTCCTGCATATTTTTGGATATGTCACACTGTTGCATATGACAGCATTATGTTGTTCCCCAAGCACACACATTGCAACATCCGTGCGCATTACTCAAGACCTCACCTCAGTGCAGTCAGTGGCGTCAAGCATTCAGGTCGGCCGACGTGCAGCCACCAGGGCCAGATGTGCAGCCATGACTTCTGTTGGAAGGGTCTTGTGCTCCTGATGTACTTAAGCTCCCTTCCGGGTTTCAAAACGTCTCTGTAAGGCTTCCGAAGAAGTGACAGAACAACTGCCCCGGTGCCCCAGGACCCCCTGGTTGCGCCTCTGACAAGGACTACGACCAGTCAGAATGGTCCACGACCAGCCAGAAGGGCTCTTCGGCGATGGCAGAGCCCTTTCGACGTCGAAAAGAGCCCTGAGCAGCCAACGAGACTCGAGTATTCAGAAAGTCGTGCGGATGCAGCTGTATGGCTCTGGCGATCAATGGGACCAATATCCGGCCAATGGGCCCTTGATAGCCTGGTGAGGGCTTGGGTGGCCAAAAGAGTCCTGAGTAAACCGAGGGTCAGTAAACTGGCTCTGACCTGGTGCTTCGCAGGGCCGCCACTAAAGCTCCTGGACAGTGGTGGGGAAGCCATTGACCTCCGGTCAGGGCTTCCTCACTGGCAAAGGGGTCCCATCAAGGACCAGAAGGTCCCCGATCAGCTAAAACAGGCTAAAGGCGACAAGAGGACTCCAGAGCACACAGAGAGTGCTGAGCGATCATTACGACAGCTGGGCGTCCAAAGAGCTCCTGGATAGTTCTGATTTTCCCTTAGCGTCCGGAAGGGACTCTGAGAAGCCCAAAAGGGCTTTCTTAACACGCACCCGGGAGGGGGTCAAATTGACCCCCGAAGGTTTTTCCAGAATGGTCTCCAAATGACGCGGCACAGCCACGCTAAATTTTGCATGACTGTAGACAATTGAATAACGGATTGTTTGGCATCACAAATCTAGATGTACCTTGTAGGGTCGCTGACCTCTGGCAGGTCAAAGCCACACCATGGTTTAAGCGAAGGCAATTTCTCCTTCAATCTGATCTAACAACGGAGTGTTAGACGAAGCCATACGTCTCTGAGATACTTTCTTAGGCAGCACAACAGTTGAATGAAAATTTTACATTGACCTAAGGTCAGATATGAAGGCTACACCAACGTTAAAACCAACCTGTTTTGTTACTCTAGGCTCGTTGTATGGGATAGTTTCTGGTGCTCACGAATTCATTGATAGCAGGAACCGCATTATGCATCATCCATGGACTTTTTAAAGGTCAGAATAGGCCACTGACCTAAAATGACCCAGGTCAACACTTTGTTTTTGGAACATACTGTCTAGCGTAATTGTTGTCGCTTACTCAAATGCAAAGCTCAAAGCAGTATTTTTTTGCAACAAGCAATCTCCCAGAAACAAGCATTGCTTCCCAGCAACAAGCTTTGCTTAGCTGGGTGGACTCCCTGTACATCCAGCTCAAAACCCAGCACAAAAATGACTAGGTAATTGCCCCCTCCGACTTTTGTGACCGTATAGCCCTTGCTAACACGGTGAATTGAGTGGTTGTAGATTATTGGGCGGTTATAGCGGGCTGTCATTAGCTGACATTGGCTAATGACTACTTTAAGCCTTCTCATCTATGATTTTTTCCTAGCTATCACATAACACAATTCATTCGGGTCTGCTCCACCTCTTCGCCTGCTTTTTTATGTTTTTTAGTGTTAACGTACGGTTTACTGCGCCGCTGGGATTGAGGGAGGGGCACTCCTGGTTACCTGTTCTTGGGTAACGGCGTAGAAAAAAATATTGTATTATTTTGGTCACCTTGATCTTCAAAAGGTCAGACAAGGTCACTGACCTTAAATGAGCATGAGACCTTTTGCTTAGAAACGATTATCTAGGTGCTGGGGACACTTTGGAGACCAACCTGAAACTTGACCTTGTTTGACCTTTTTTGACCCAAAGTTCTGAATCTGAATCTGAATCTGAAATTTTGACCTGAGTGAGTTCACGCACAGTTCAACACACCCTGTAAATTTCGTTTCTCTAGCTTTCTTAGTTCCCGAGATCTCAGGGGTCAAATTGACCATTCATTTTCAAGAGTCACCATTTATACCACCAAGAGGCATATCAGACTCTTCCGTGGCACCTTACCATTAAAAGTCATTTAAAGACCGTTATGGCAACATGAGAGCTTTGAACACATAACGCAGAATGGTGTTAAACGATGTGGGCCCCTTGGTGTACGAGTCCATTGGAATGCCCTATAATGTGGTCTGCTCGAGTTTTTATGTCAGCAGCCGAATGCATTTTTTTCAAACTGTGTGAACAAATGTACTTCGACGACCATGACCCAAATATTTCATACTGCTCTGCCTTCGGCCAACCGACCACACCGTTTCAAGCGGTAGATTTTTACACTTGTGTCACGAAAACTTTGCAGTTAGATGGCGCAAAGCTTTTTTAGAGCATCTCCGAATGTTTGTCTTATGTTGGCCAGTATTTTGGTAGATTCCTAAAGGCCGGCTCTTGATCCCCACCCCACCTCGACTCTTAAAATAGGCGCAGCTTGAGTATGGAGGCGCGGCTCGTTGGTCCAAGATTACTTACTGTTTAGTGCCGACCAGTTCAGTAGGTTTTGACGGGGAACGTGCTAACGCCTTGAAAAAGCACGAGTGTGCTGACCTTTTCGCTATGTATGGTAAGCTCCACGATCAAGGACGGGGAGTGCTGTCACTGCCGGATTATCACCATGCTGTAAAAACGAACTGAATGCTTACAGTGTATCAAGGAGTTCGACAGAGGCTAGCACTTGGTGAAGATTGTCCTCATAGGTTATGGTTTCTTGCGTGCCTGTGCGCTGTAAATTGCCTACTGACCGGGTGGTGACGGCTGCAGTCGCACCCCTCCCCACGGCGCACGGGGCCAGTAATCCTGGAACTGCAAGTACCATTGGGTCAAGTTCGCGTACTTTCACTTCTTTGGTACTGGTAGCTCCACGTGCCAAGCGGAACTTGCACCGTGTATTAGACGAGACCCGGCAGTCAATTTTGGAACTTGAAGTTGTAAGTGCTCGGGTTTATGATCCGCGATAAATTTGTTTTGCAGTTAAAAGATTATTCGGACGTCAGAGCTGAGCTCCCGTCTTTGGTCAATCATACGTTAATTACACACCACACGCACGGAATTTTGTCACATTCCCCTTTAAAAAACGTCACGCAGAGTAGAGGCTTTCGTCAGGGTGTTTTGTAAACATGCCTCATTTGTAACACATCGCAAAACTATATTGTTTTCCGTGGCTTACGGAGTCCAGTTGAGCTCTGACAGAGCATTAGAGCTCCTTGGAAATGATATTCTACCATACTAATATGCCGTACTAAAATGAAGTCTTAAAATGCCTCTTTGTGGCCTAATTTATTGTGTTTCATATCACATCCCGGCATCGTCATTGTCATTGATCCATCAAATTGCACAATCCACGGCAATAGCAGCCGTGCCGCCCTGTAGATCAAACTTTGGCGCTCGTTCGACACCAAGCAATCCGTTGCACACTCCCCGACATGGTAGTGTGCAGGGAGCACACCGCATCCACGGCGCGCGCTTGGCTCTGCTGTGGCAGCCGCGGCCTGTCCCCGCACGCCGTACCCTGCGACCCCCGGACGGCAGCACGCTCCAGGCCTCTTCGTTCGCCGCTGCCCAGCTGTGACGGCGCCGGCACCACGGCGCGCGGCGTAGCGTCGCCAGCTTAAACGCCAAGCGCTTGCTGGACGGCGGCCAGCTGGCCGGCAATCTGGTTCAGCTTCGACTGCGCTGCGGCGAGCGAGCCGGGGGCCGGCTTCGCCGCCGCGCCGCGGCTGTTGAAGCGGGTTCCGAGCGTGCCGGACAAAACGGGCACGTGCAGGTTGATGGGAGGCATGGCTGGCACGTGCGGCACTGATACGGGGCTCAACAGCGGCCGTGCGACTCCGGAGCTGGGGCGCAGCGAAGATGTCGGTCGGGCGGCTGTGGAGCTGGGGCTCGCCACAGATGCAGGCGCGATGGCTCCGGAGGTGGGGCGTGGCCGCGAGGCCTTGGTGGAGGTGCGACGCGAGCCGAAGCGTTCACCGAGCGAGGTATCGGGCACGACGCTGTGCACCTCCTCCGTCCTATGCACGGACGAGCCGTCCACAGACGTGCCTCCAGCAGAGGAGCTTTTCGTCACCGTGGCGGCGTGTGCCACGGCCAGCAGAGCGCCCACCAGCACGAAACAGCGCATCGTTGCAGAGGGACGAAGCTGCGCGAACAACCTGGATGGAGAGAACGCCGCGTTAGCTGGTGACGTTCCCAGCGGAGAATGGGACTGCGGCCGAGAGGGAAGAAGCTCTCAATAGCCGCTGCACAACTTTGTCTAGTAACGAAATGCTTCTCGCGGTCTGATACAATACTGAGCATCACATGCTGAAGGAGACTAACTACAGCTCCGTTGTATGTCCTGGACGGCTGCCATCCCCATGTGATACAAATTCTGGCCACAATACTATTCTTTGTTTCAATCTGGTGAACGCAAGTGCAATACAAAAGATTACCACTCGCCAGTAAGTTAAGCGAGAATGACGGATGGAAATTTACAAAGGAGCACACGCATTGCGGCGGCGGAGAAACGCGGAGGTAACCAAGAAATACAGAAGGATCGATAGAGACAGACACAGAGAGAGAGAGAGAGAGAGAGAGAGAGAGAGAGAGAGAGAGAGAGAGAGAGAGAGAGAGAGAGAGAGAGAGAGAGAGAGAGAGAGAGAGAGGGAGGGAGGGAGGGAGGGAGGGAGAGAGAGAGAGAGAGAGAGAGAGAGAGAGAGAGGGAGAGAGAGAGAGAGAGAGAGAGAGAGGAGAGAGAGAGAGAGAGAGAGAGAGAGAGAGAGAGAGAGAGAGGGGCGGGGGAGGGAGACAGATCGAGATGAGGGCGCCAACAGGATGTCGAGGGTGAGTGCGTCGGAGTCCCGGTGGCCTGAACACAGAAGAACACACCCGCTCACCTGCTCTATCGTCAGTCGACTGCCGAGTGAGAACCGGTTGCGCCCGCCCGCTTTTAATACGACTCGGGAGCCCGGGCGGCAGTTCGCGGTCCGCCTAGGCCCAAGAAGCGGCGCGGTGGGGAATTCTGCCCGGCACGTGACGTCATCGGGCCGGTTTGGAGGGCGGCGGGAGCAACGCGCCGGCGGCCGGCGGCCGACCGGCGGGGCAGGTGGATGGACGTCCCGCCGTCGTCGGCACCGGCCACCCGCCCGCCAACAGCCATAGACGTTGGCCCCAGGCAGCCACGTAGTACGCGATAAGCGAAGCTCTGATTCGCAGAAGCCCTCAGTGGGCTCGGCATGGGGCGCTAGCTGCGAGCCTGACTGTGTGTTTACACGCGGCCGGATACTTTTCCCCTGAAAACCTGTGCATCCAGCGAGGTCACCTCTGCAAATGCACATACAGATCACCAGTCTGCTCCAGAGCTGCAATGACTGGCTTCTGTGGTGCAGCGAGCCGCATAGCTGCATTTTCTTCCCGTGCTGTTGCATGGTTGTCTAAGTAAGCCCCTCCCTGTGGATGGCTTTTCACTTAAGCCATCGCTAGGCTCTCTATCATACGGGTATATCTTCGAGGTAAAGCCTGGCTGAAGTATGCCATGACATCGTAACTAGCATTTCCATGTCGCAAACGTAACTAAGCTCAGCGACACTGGTCTAAAGATGCACGGTGAGATTCACCCATAAGTATGCTAATGGAACTTGCAGGTCACGACATTGCGCTGCTCTAGGGAGGTAAAATCCATTAAACCTTACGGGTATTCGTGGTCCACAGCTGAGCGACATATTCTTACACACGTGTGCTGATTTCACCAAGGTAGGGTAATTACAATTCATTCATTTTATATTTGCCGAATGATCATACGCACGGCATAGCATCTGATGTTTCAGTTTGGTTCCCTCAGCCAGCTGCTAGTTGGCCGGCGGAGGTACCGAGACAAGGTTGCGTTTTAATGCCAGCTGGAAACCGCACCGCGCGGCACCCGGCAATCAGCTTCCAACGCTCCGCGGCACCTGGCAATCAGCGTCCAACGCTCCGCGACACCCGGCAATCAGCGTCCAACGCTCCGCGCGACACCCGGCAATCAGCGTCAACGCTCCTGCGACACCCGGCAATCAGCGTCCAACGCTCCGCCAGCACGGGATTGCTGATGCGGCAAGTCATTATGCCTGAGCTGCAAGCAATGCAGTGAACCTCAACTCTATGAAGCAGTACGATGGGCGTTGAAATATCAAATCACCATCTCGTAGGCGTTGCCTTGCACTAGGTAAAAAGAAAACGGGTCAAAATTTATCTTTAAAAGCATACATTTTGAAGATGTCAGTTGCTCCCACATTGGCGTCGTCAGCGATCCCTGAACGTCACTACCGTTCAGAAGGTTGCTGGGTGGCTGTGTTCGTGACTTACATCCTATAGTGCCAAAGCCGGATCCCACGGACATGCATGCGTCATTCAAGCGTTCTCAGAACTAACACGCGATTAACTAAAACCGACGATTCGGTGGCCCCTGGGAATTAGCAAAAACAAAATACATTAGCTGGTAAGCGTTACATTCCTGCATATTCAAGTTGACCCAGGTCTCCCACTCTAAATACCTGATCCGCAGCATCAGATTATGGAACCTCTGCTATAAAGACCAAATGAAACTTCTTTAAATCATAATGCACCAATAGACTTCATAAGATAACAGTTCAAAATTGAAGTTGGCATCTGCCTAGCTTTTTGAGCAGTATAAAAGCTGTTCAGCTATTACGTGGTTTACTAATTAAGACTGTTCAGCATGGGGCTGAGTCGCAGAACCTAGTTCCGAGTGTTAGTCCGATTCCTGGTGCATGCTATCTGATTCCGAGTCACGAGTGCACGGCTCATCCACTGCGTATCACACGTTTCTCTACTCCGAGTCCGAGTCCATTCATGTTCTCGGTGCCTGAATCAGAGCACGAGTTCATCAACATGAGCACCGAACCGCCCTCTAACATCATCTGAGTTTTATCGCCGCCACCGCCATGGACCAAACATCCCGGTCAGAAGTGAATGGTGAGTGCCAAATGGTGAGTGCCAAAAGGGGAGTGCCAAAAGGGGAGTGCCAAATGATGAGTGCCAAAAGGTGAGTGCCAAAAGGTGAGTGCCAAGTGGTGAGTGCCAAATGATGAGTGCCAAAAGGTGAGTGCCAAAAGGGTAGTGCCAAATGGTGAGTGCCAAATGATGAGTGCCAAAAGGTGAGTGCCAAAAGGGTAGTGCCAAATGGTGAATGCCAAATGGTGAGTGCCAAATGGTGAGTGCCAAAAGGTGAGTGCCAAAAGGTGAGTGCCAAAGGCGACTCGACTCGGCTATCACAAGCAGGAGGATGGCACACATATCGGCGGATAAAGCCAGGCCTTTTCGGGAATGAATATGAATGGGGGATTTTAAAGCCTTGCGCCATGTCTGCCTGGCATGATAAGTTAGCAGAGAAACGTGTGCACTGATGTAACGTTGTACATGTGACTCTGACGTTGAAGCGTTCAAAAGTGATGTTTAGCACTTATCGGAAGGGGACCGTTTACACTGGCGACATTGACAAGAAGAGAAATCTACGCTGCCCACCATTTGTTTACAACTTAGATGGAGCCATGAAGTGGAAATTGCAACGGGAATCCCAACGTCCATGAAATTCAAAAGTATCAGCTCTGAGACATTGATTTCAAGGGTTCATTCCATACCTGATCAACCTTGTAGTACAAGCAAACCAAATGCATGTTTGACACAGAACGGCATTTTTGTTGTCACATGATCAATGACATGACATATGACATGACATGACATGCAATCTTTATTCTATCTCACGTCAAGCAAGGCTAGCAGAGCTGAAGCCTTTTTTGCGTGATGATAGACCATTATGTCAGGTGTGTTGATTCCTTTCCAAAAACTAAGGTTCTCTGGCATTGAGCAGCATCAAACTGACATTAGTCGTAAAAAGGAACCTGCTGGCCTTCAGAGGTAGCATTCTAGCTCAGGGTCCGACCATAACCCTGGACGAGTTGTCTGACACGGGCAATGGAGGCACCAACAACTATGACAAATTTCACGACTTCACGTCTGTCGTTTTCTCCTTGATGTCAGAATGTCGCTTGGCGCGAGCGTCCGGCCTACTGCACCGGGCGGGTGTTAAACAAGCGACGTTGGTCACCTCCGACTGACTGCTGGCGTTTCCGTCAATCGAACAACGTTGGGTAGCGACCTGGTTAGTATATTTCACATGAGAGCGCATGGGTCACGTTTGTGTCGCTTCGGCCCGTCTTGCACGTAGCCTGCAGAGAGGTGCGTTGCTTCAGTTGAAGCAATCCTACGGAAGTTGCCGTGTCATTATGCGGGATTTCCGACCCAAAAGCGATGAGACGGTCGGTGCAGCTATGGAATTTACGCATACATACACACACGCTATGTTTGTACCAGTTTGGGCGGTCTTGCACCTAGCTTGCCGGGAGTTCCGTTGTTGGATTTGGGCAATGATCGACCGGAGGTCCGCTAGGCACCCAGACTGCTTGTTTAATGGTATGTGCAAGCACCAAAGCATAAAGAGATCGGTACATATCCCACATGTCACATGCAAGCACACGTGCCACGCTCGTGCCGTTTTCGTTGGTCTTGTATCTAGCCCTCGGGGAAGTCCGGTACTGAACTTGGAGCAAGCAAGCAAGAGTTGCGGTCTCATAATACGTGGTGTTGGGCCCGAAAGCGATGAGACGGTCGGTGCAGCTGTGACAGCTGCATATACATGCACACGTGCTATGTGTGTACCTGTTTCGATGGTCGTGTAACAACTTGCCGGGAGGTCCGTTGTTCTTGGGGAAATCATCGACAGCGCGGCTGCCCTGTCACACAAACCGATTTAAACTGGAAACTTGACAACTCTTTCCCGAAAATGATGGAATGGTCGAGGCATGTGTTCATATTTCACATGCATGCACGTGTGCCACGTTTGTGCCGTTTTGGTCATTTTGCATCTAGCCTGCAGGGAGGTTAGTTGCTGGACTTGGAGCAGAAACTGTGGTCTCATAACGCGTGATGTGGAACCCGAAGGAGATGAGACGGTCGGCACAGCTCTGGCATTTGCACATACACGTGGCACATCTGTGAAAATTTTATGTTGCATGCATGCGTTCCTGCATGAACATTACGCTTTGTGATACGTTAGGAGTTACGAGCTTTAGATGTAATGACACCTTAGGGGTTATGATATATTAGAGATTATGACACATTAAGAGATCTGACGTACTCACTATGAGGCGTGTTGTACCGATGGGTCCATGGTCTGTGTACTCGCTATAAGGCGTGTTGTACCGATGGGTCCATGGTCTGCGTCCTCGTTATGAGGCGTGTTGTACCGATGGGTCCATGGTCTGCGTATTCGCTATGGGGCGTGTTGTACCGATGGGTCCATCTCTCTCTCTCCGAGAGAGAGAGAGAGAGAGAGAGAGAGAGAGAGAGAGAGAGAGAGAGAGAGAGAGAGAGAGAGGAGAGAGAGAGAGAGAGAGAGAGAGAGAGAGAGAGAGGAGAGAGAGAGAGAGAGAGAGAGAGAGAGGGCAGAGCAGAGAGAGACGGAGATGTGAGCGAGAAGATGAGAGAGAGAGAGAGAGAGGAGAGGGGGACGGTTTATTGAGAAAGGCATGGCTTCGAGTGTCAACTCACACAGCACATGTGCACTATATACATATGAAGTAGGATGTTATTAGTTATTAATATATATATATAGATATATATATATATATATATATATATATATATATATATATATAGATATATATATATATATATATATATATATATATATATATATATATATATATATATATATATATATATATATATGTGTGTGTGTGTGTGTGTGTGGTGTGTGTGTTTATAAGAATGGCTATATGGGAATACTTGATTTGCGTAGTCGCATACCACAGCAAAACGTTTGGAGTGTGCTTGCGCTCCTGGTATTTCTGCCGGAGATCGCCACTCGCTGCTTTGGAAGCAGATCTCTATGCATGGGAGACGCTTGCATTTGTTTTCCTAGCCTTAGGCATAGCTTTCCTCTCCTGTCAGCGAGGGTTTCCGAGC